GTAAGGTTACCATTTAAGCGCGCACATAAGCTGTTGCCGTCTAAACCTACGAAATTTTCTTTATTTTTACAAAGTTTTGATCGAGACCGAATGTTATAGCTCATAGAAAATTTGGTCTAAAATTTTAAACAAAATATCCCACAAATGCGAAAGTAATGACATGAAAATAGTTTATACCTAAAGGGCAAGTAGCCGTATCGGAGTTTTATCGCAATTTGAAAGTCGCATTCAGTTACGAAAAAATAATCCGAGAAAAGGTATGTACGTTCGTGACAGAAACACTGTGATCCAAAATTGTTTACGTTTTGGGCAGGTGCATAGTGACCGGTTGGCACTCCCGAATAACGGTGTTGGACCAATCGGAGATATGCCCTACTAAGCGGCAAAATATGTTTTAGTATTCCCTGTCATTATGGAAAAGTACCTGTTGTATTCTTCCCGAATCTTGAATGATGGAAATAAAACAAACGCATAGGTGATCTGCGTTTTGATTCTTTGATGTTGCAGTGCAAACGCAACGTACATTTGTGTGTACGTACGTACATCTTAATATTTCGATATATTTGTCAAGTTATACACAATGTACAGAAACTATATTACCGGTATTGTTACATGTATAATAATATAAAGAAACAGCTATTCGTCTACCCGGTTAGCAGAACAATTATACATCAGAGCTAAATCGATATCAAAAAATATTTACAATACTGGAGATAATTGCATTTGAATTCTGTTTTACGTGACGAAATAACAAAAGGAACTAATTGGTTAAATTAGTCTCACTGCTTAATTTGAAAGATTAAAAATCCCTTCCTGTCTGTTCTCACTGCCGTGGGTTGTTTTCATTTTGTTCAATAATGTCCCACTCAGTCTGACTGAAAATAATTTATTTGAGACACAGCCACAATTACGCTACCTCAATAAAACCACTCATATTTTACGTGGATATAAACTAGTACCCCCATGATATAGATAACAATTCTCGAGTAGTGTAGAGGGAGGTCATGTCGAACGGCTATAATTTTTTATTATTTGTTGAAGTTTGTCCAAAAAAGGGCGTGAATTTGACAGTTAAATCGATTAGGAGAGATAATAAAAGGCTCAAAGGTCATGCGGTTGAAAATACCAACTTCTTTGGGCAATCTAAATGAGGTTAACAGATGTTTCGTCAACTTGTTGTCGTACTTCATAAACACAGGTAGAATGTATAATTACAGATAAACTCTGACGGAATCAAAAAAAAAAGTCCATAAATATTGAATTGTGTTTATCTATATATACGAGTCAAAGGTTAAAGTTCGCACATGACGTGTGAACGTCTGTCCACAGCTGATTAGATGATGTATTACTCGTTAGGTAAATAATAACACAATAGCTTAAAATCTAGACATGGTAAAACCTAAGTAAAACGGTGGTCTTCGCGACTCGTCGTGTTCTATAGGTTTTCCCGGTTTTTGTGCTGGTTGCCTGCACCGCAAAGGCGCATGGGACATGTTACGAGTATGATATGCTAGTCGCGTCGCGCTTCGAGAGCGGGATTTGAAACCGGACGTCATACCATCGTCCGTCCGATGGCGCTGCACTCCTCGGCGTTAGTCGTGACATTCACAAGATTTTGCCTCGATTGTGAGCCTGAGAGTCGCGTCGCATCGTGAAGAGTGATCTGTGGCGGGCTTTGATGTGTGTTAGCAATTCGATATATTTGTTACTCGTCCGTAAAGAATGTTACTTTTAAAGAACAAATTTGCATAGACAGGGAGGTAAATCGGGCATGCGTAGATAGTGTCCCATGATTCCTTTGTGCAATCCACGGGATTGTCAGTTTCCCCTTTGTGGACATTTGTAATTTAGCTTGTTTTATCCGTCACTGGATGTTTCGAATGTACATGTATTTGCTAGGTGATATGTTTCTCAGCTGCCAGCTCACGTGTTCTTCAACTATACGTGTTCAAGTGGTTGGTTGCAAAACATTACGTGTTCACAGATGGAAACTGTTTATGATTTTTATCACCGCATCGGTCCTGTCGCGTGGTGGCGGTATTTATACGCTCCCGTGAACCCGACACTTGCAGTGCTTAGCGACCCGATACATTTATAGCGTCTACGAGCTTAACAGCGATAGCAGCGACCTCGGAACGGAATACCCATCATGACTTTAATTTACAAACATCCTTCAGATATGTGCAGTAAAACTCTGAACTATTTTAACTTTAAACATCTTGGCAAGTGATTGTGATATTTACGGTACTCCTAATATGGCACACCCATTAAAGGCGACGGAGAACTCGTTACGTAATCTTTCACCCACATAACATATTTTGCCTCGTATAGTTGTCTGAGGTATGGGAAATATCAAGTTCTTCAACATAATTAATAGCGGTAAATGAGCTTGGGGCCGTGGAAACGTTGTTGTCAGCCAAACGAGCTTGAGTAAACAGGGCGCACTTAAACAGTCGTCTGATCTTAGACTTCACTTCGTTACTGATTATAAATCAAGAGACGTACGGCGCTGTTTTGACGTAACTATGGAAACGACGAAACATACTGGTAAACATTATCCATACACGTATCTGTGACAGTTGCAATCAGTATTTATCGCCAAGTCGAAAGTCCTAAATACAAAATAAAGACTTTGTTTTATGATCGTTTGTAGTTTATAATGATCGATTGCTAACAGTGGCCTAAACGTCTGCTACAATCAAGGCACGCACATGAAACACGGCTTGTTTTAGATTGGTGTACTATATTCTAGAATTAGTGTGGCATTTATCGGTGGATATTGTTTTTTTTTTCATCTACCGAATATGTCTATATATACGAGCGAGATGAAGGTGGTCAAACTATGATCAAAGTTTGCAATATACTAACGTACACCGACCCCAGGTTTGTTTTATCATTTAACCCACTATGATTGAATCGTGATGTGACAGGTTCAATTGCTGCCACTGGTTATGCATTAACGAAATGACAAAGAGTAGCCCCGGGCCGAGGGCGTGCTTCAGTTTTACGTGTATGTTGATTGCACATCTTTCGAGGCGTGGAATCGTTTGAGGTGAATTGTAGGTAACCCAGTAAAATAAGACGCACAACTCGTTTCCTCCAGGATCAAAGTGTTCAGATAGTGTGTGATCTGCCTCGCGCTGGTCTCTGGTGTTCAATTAGCGCTGAACACGAGATTAGAAATCGCCTTCAACTTTTATTAATTTTTCAAAATTCTAAGACATGTATGAGAGTTTTGCTTAACCGCGGTCAATTCAGATACAAGTAAAACTACACTGGATCTTAATATAGTATAATGTTTCAACTTAATTGACAAAAACATTACACTGTTTTTTCGAGGAAAGTAATGTGGTTCGAATTAATGTATTGTATACTTATTTAACCTTGTGAGGTTTTCACGGTAATTCAACGCGCATGAGCAGCCCGTTATTTCAATTCCATCTAATGCGCCGCGAAACAACGTTTTATTTTATGGCAAATCATAATCTATCGTGCGTAAATCAATACGTTACATCCACCTAAAGCGCTTTATTGCATATATTTATGTTCACATCACGATAACTTCGCGAAGCCCACTTTTATCGTCAGAGTTCACACTTCGACCAGACAATTTCATCAACACAGGATACATCTTTGACATTTCAATAATCCAAAAACGACAAACAAATCGGTGTTTCCAAATGTTAAAGAGGTGTTGCCCGGTAACTAAGCTGTTACAGATAAGAGGAGGGTGTCTGTTTACACATACGCATGTTGATCACCGTCATCTCCATTATCTGTAAACATACTGATTTGTAACAGTACAATAAATAACAGTTACAGTCTCTAAATAGCTCTACTATGATTTGAAAAAAAAAATCGTACCTGTTTTGAACTGTGATCAATGTGCAACACGTGTTTCGTTCGCTGACCGATTTGCAAAGTGACTCCGTGAAATTGACAAATATTAAATCCGTTTGTTGGAAATTTGTAAGCATTCGCCAGTTTATATGAATTCGAAAGCAAAACAGTGAATGTTTAAGTGATGTCGTCCGTTATATCACTATCTTGTGTTGTTATAGCAAAAGACATCCCAGGCGCCGATATCTTTATCTATACCGTTATTAGGCCTCTAAATAATATATGTACACACACTTCAAATTGTGAGTGTTTGAAAGCATCTCATTTTTGGTCCTGTCGTCGTCAAAATGTCAGTTTGTTCTGGATGTTTTTTTTAACTCTTAGTTCCGGTAAATATGTTTAAACAGCGTGTACTTTGAGTCGCGTTTTAACGCCTGGGCGCTCGCAATGAATGCGCCCAACCAGCCCCTATTGGACCGCTCATTGTTTGCAACATACACATCGTGGTATTGAACTGCCTTTATTTGAACAACATCACTTACGGCATTGATTTTGTAAAATAAAATACAAAAATACAGCAATGAAACGCATTAAGCACTGTTTGTGACTTGATTAGAGCGGTAGAAATACGCTTCCGCTACATTAGCGTATACTGTCCCTGAGTTGCGCGTCTTTGAAAATCCGGGGTAACTCGTGTCGATGTATGTAAATCTTTCTGTTCGTCATAATTATTGTTGAGGTTCGATTCCAACTCTATGTCTAGCTTCATGATTGCCACTATATCTATTAACTTCTCATTCAGCCGCATCCCCTCGCCTGAAACTGGTTACCATGGTGATCTTTCTATTCCTCATCTGTGTTCATTTTCATGTTCCGTTTCTTTCTCTGCCATTTCCTTTGCTTTCATCATTTCACGTTTTAAGTTTACGTGATCCATTCGATTTATGCCTATTTTTTGAGTATCAAGATCTGTGGTCCAAGTACACCATAAATGTCGGCAACATTTCACTTTCTTACAAGTGTTATAATCGAACACTTCTTTGTCATCAATTTCTTTGCCTCCGGGGTCTTGAAAATAGTCACGGCTTCATGTCTTCAATTATTCCGCCCCTCAAGGGTCACCGATTATGGTTCTTTGAGATAGCGATCACGTAGCAATAATGAGTGGTGACAAGAAACGACGTGGCGGTAAACAAACTAACCAGCCTGCATCAGCCACCCCAAAAGACTATCGGAACGACCACTGTGAGGACGAACCACCACGCAGCCAGCGCCGACGTCAGAGCAAGGGATCGGCATACCACATCCTGCCCGCCTCGCACCAGTTGAGCGCTCGAACACGGGTCGACAGATCGACACTTAGACGAGCGACACTGACGCCAAACTTGCCGGGCATAGGTACTCCCCGGGTTAAAATCATGAGCGACGTCGCCAAACAGAAAGGATCGGCGGTGGTTTTTCAGGACACTGGCAGCCCAAAGCAATCGGTGGTTACGATAACGGCGAACAAACCGCAACGTCCCTCTGAAGGAGGAGGAAATGACATATTCAAGCAAATGAGAATAGAAGCAGCAAAAAAAGTAGGTTTTACTGTAGTTGGTATATTTTTTCCGGTTTAATTGTAATTCCAAACACATATTTTGATTTATTGGGTCACACATCTTTAAAAAGTTGTAATTTACACCCCAGTCAGGTCACATTAAACAAAAAAATCTTCTATGTTACCATCCATCGGGCAACATACTCCGTTCAAACGAAAACGAATTGGCCATTGTCGACGGAGTCGTCACTAACACGCCACGATATTTGAAATAATCATGCACACTTTCTTAACCCTCGCATTTTTAAGGGAAAAATTGTCGAACGGGAATGAGTGTGTGCACAGGCTACGGCGAGGGCCCGGGGTTGAAGCTTGCCGCGGCGAGTGTGTTGCCAGCGATTTAATTATTACGGTCACTAGAGGTGTTTTACAGATAGTTGTCTGAATGGAACTACAGAATACTGCATGTAATACTCAGCAGATTAAATGCACTGCCCGCAGCCATCACCACCCACCAAACTCTACAATACAACTGTCGACAACAAATACCGAAAATCTCATTCACGAAACGTCAAGTACTTGTCCCCCAGGGAGTTGGTACAGTAAATACGTTAAAAAGTAATCCCTCGTACTCGATTTACTTTTCTTTCGCTCTGATCGTCCCAAATTGACAATCTAAGCAGACTAATCGACGTACTAGTACATAGTGGGATGGCATCGTTACTGAAATCGAGCGTGAAAAGGTCTGTCTTAGAACGTCTCATCCAGTTTTAAAGCTGGCGTTTAATTAATGTCGAACAAACTGTACAGTGATATAAATTATTCCGTAGGATTTACAATAGTGTGAGTATACTAACATGCAGTCTCGCCATTGATTCTCACCACGTATCGAGCATAAATACACAGACTCACGGCGGTCTCTGCACTAGAAACCCCGTCATTGTATTCACCTCGTGCCAAGTTTGTCCGATTTGTTATTCACACTTCAAAAAAGAACCAAGGAAGCTCAGGGTCGAGATATGTTTACTGAGATTATACAAACATGACATCCAAAAATGTTGGGTATGGAATAAAGACAGTCGCCCAATAATGCTTTAGTGATGGTCATTTACAATAAATGGTTGCATTCACGCCACTGTGTGTAGGTGAATGAAAGTAGGTAGAATGACGCTTGTTTTGTGTATTTTTTCTAAAGACCGTTCGTGCCAGGAGATTCAATGCACATTCCCAATTAAGCTAAAACACATTTTTTTGCTAAGTCATTCAGTGATGTATCGCGGAGTACCCTGGCAAAGAGAATTGCTACGATTTGTACTTCGATATCATAAACGCATATCTGTGATCTTACCGTCATTTCCTATGCTTATGCTAATAACACACTATTTTGCGGCCGCAATTGTTTGGTTGTCGTTTTTGATATTCCATATGTTTGTTATTGCCCACGAGATAGTTATTCGGAGCAGTTATTTTGTAAGAAATAAATATAGCTCCAAACTTTGAATCGTTTGAGAATAGCTATCAACGTTTTATGGCCTTATTGTCTTAAATTGATGTGTTGCTAGGAGGGCGATACATTCCGAGACACCGGGCACTACAATGATCCTGAACAATGTTCGTTGATAACGCTACTAAACATGGCAATCACAATGCAATGTATTTTCTATGCGGTGGTGATATTCCAAATCAAACAAATAAAATAATTTTCGGTTATAGGTTATACACGCCTGGCGCGCACGTGCGCTCTAGTGACTCGCTACACGTGCAATTGTTTTGTAAAAGAATATGCAAATTATTTTGGAGAATTGATTTCCCTGAAATTTATTGATATGTAACAATCATACGACGGTTTGTATACTGTGGTTTTGAACGTTTCCTTTTAGTGTCATTCCTTGTTTTCACATAACTCGCCCCAGCTTCCGTTGTGTGGTGGTTGCTGTAGCTGATCTTGTCGGTGTATGCAATGCGCCCTAATGCCTCAGCTACGGGCGCGTCTGATCGTAACCAGGCAACGTCGTAATCCGATGGCATACATGAATGGCTAACGAGAAACGTCAAAGATTATTTCACTGTTTTTTAAAGAAACGAACTCCCACACTTTATCAAGAAACAGCTGCTGTGTTTTGTTTTTGTTCTGAAAGCTACTAGATACATCTCGATCTGGAATGTTGTTTGTTTAATGTCGAAGCTTATATGCAAACACATGTTCTGTTGTCAACTCAACGGCGAAATGGCGACGAGTTCTACTTCTGACAATCTAATGGGTATAGTTGTTGTTAGTCTTTTTATAGACTAGTTCGACACCGTGTCAGAGATTGCCCCTACAGTATTGAAATCGATGACATCTACCACTTGATGCAGACAAAGATACTCTCCGTTGTCGGCATGCTTATTGCGCCTCTCGTCCGATCAGCGTTGATGTCATTTGCAAAGAGACCATTGAATAACACAGCTACGCGTAGAGAGACGAAAACAATCTTCAAAACCTAAATTTAGCACGGGCATGGTTCATTGTTGCGTTTGGATTGCAACACCGAGGGGGGGGGGGGTATGTTGGTTGCCAGAGGGACTGCTTTTGCGATCTGCAAATATCAACCCTTCTGGCCAGGGCCGGTGGGATCTTTGTGTGCAATAAGTGAATTTCCGTAGTTTACATAATTGAATCGCAACGGTTGTCGCACTGCGTATTTCAAATGAGTCCCATGTACCAAAGACATACTATTGTCTTTGCATGTACGCAATATGTTTTGTTCACCCGGAATTCGAAAGCGTGTTGCGTTATAAATGAACGATTGTAGCTGTGTGTGACAACTGTGGGGCTGCTTGATGAATGTGGCACTGCGTGATAACCGTGTCGTTTCATGACGACCGTGGCGTTGCATGTCGTCTGTGGCACTGCGTGATATCTGTTGCGCTACGCACCGACTGTAGTGCTGCGTGACGTCTATGACGCTGTGTGACGCTGCATGACGGATGTGGCGCTTTAATGTGAACATGAATGGTGTTTAACCATATCCCTTACAGTACTGGGGGGTCTATGGTTTAACTGACAACAAATGATGCAATCTGGGGCATATCAAGGCCCAGGTGGCACTTGGCTGTACAGGGGATACACATGTCCGCGGAAACCAAAAAAAGACTGACAGCCACTCATAGGTCAAGCAGGAGGACAAGAAAAGAGGAAGACCTTGTTGTTTAGGAAGTTCCACCTGAACCAAGCACATCAAATGCGCACATTCGTTCAAAGCAGCATGGCGTTTCTCTAAACTAAGGTTGTATTGTCTTTTCCGGAAATTCGCAATTTATTCAAAAAAGGGAGTACATTTTTGTTTTTCAAAATCAGTGGAAAGTAGTTGTTTTTGCCCGAGAGTATCAAGGCATTATAAGCATAAACGTATATTGATATTGCACATGTTCATGACATTAAACCATCGAGATCCCGTTGAATTTGCATGAGAAACAGCGAGGCAGTGCTGTATCTTTGGATTATCTTGTTTACAATATGAAGTTGTATTTTCACGAAAAAGTGTTTACGTTGTTGCAAGGTTGTCGGCATTTAGATGTCAAACACGATCTCTTTCTTATAACGAGGGTTGCGTATTGTGTACAACAATCGAATCCAATGGTAATGACGCTAACTTGACAAGCCTGTCGGTGCCGCCTAAATTGTGTCCATAAGTGTTCCACACTGCATGGTTTGTTAATTCACCGTTTTACGACAACGCCGCCGTCGGTCAGTAGCGGCGTTAAAAGTTCGTAATCTTCGACTGCACTCTCGCTTGTGTATTTCTTGACTGCTATAAGGCTGTAGCGACAACATTAGTCTGATGAATCCGTATTCGTATACAAATGCTCGTCGCGAATTCGGCATAAATTATACGCACAAACGTTGTGTATTCTTTGTGTATTCTTTGAGAATCTTCAATCATATTTGCCCAGGCATGCCAGTAGTATAGAGAAAATTTAAAAATTCGCCACAAAAACAAACCAATTCCAATACACTAATATGTTGCCATACACTGTGTATAGATTGGTGTATATAGTGAAAGTAGTCCATCGTATTTCGATATTTGTTCTCCGGTATGGACAAGACGTACGTTGTTATTGGTCAGTGGAAATGATCGTCAGCATTCTAGTGACACTTTGGCTAGTTAGTATAAATAATTCATTATCTAAATGCTATGCAAACAATGCCTCTAATTAAATCACGAAAATTTTCAAACTCGCATGAACTTGAATATTTCGTTTGAGATGCCCTCTTTTCAATCAGTAAGGAGGTAAATGATTCCAACCATGTCCAAACGTTGAATCTTGACCAAGAATGACGGAATAGGCACGCCGATCATCGAAATATAACGATTATAACCAAATATAACTATCCCATCGTAAAATACAAGGAAATATTGGGGGGGGGGGGTGTTTTATATAAGTGAACGTGAATTGTATACATTGATTACGTTCAATCGAGGTTTTTGTTTTCGTTTTTTTTCCTTTGGTAAACATACAAAGCAACACTTGCCGTGTCCCATTTCATGATATGCAAATTAAGCAGTTAATTAAAACTAAATGAGCAAATTGGTGTTAGTGGAGATTTACGCATCGACCAAACAACGTAGTTTGGCTCCTGGTTGTAGTGAATCCATGTCCAACCATGAAGAGATTTGTAATATGCCGCATGGGTCAACGTGCACGACAAAAAATAGTGCTAAGTCACCTTATCACGCAGTCTAGTCTTATGAATAAGGTAGGTGACGGAATCTGATAATACTATGCTACTGAAGCCATCAACCTGCTTACCATGGTCCTCGCTTATTGTGGTGTTTATCTTTTACAGGCCCGTGAACGGTTCCAGCATGCTATCCGCCTTATTCTCACTCTAATACGGGTTTTCAACATGATACAATCTAGGTAAGTTCGTACGGTAATTCAGTTTCATTTAAAGCCTCCTCGCTGTAATACTGTGAAGGTGTTACTATGTATACTTCAAGGCTATTTTGATATTTTGCGTGTATTCACGGGCTATTAAAATCGAGAATGATTTTCAGTGAAAAATAACTTTTTTTGTAATTGTATATTCGGAAAACTCATCCGTGTATTGTAATATATAAACTACACGCGTATTCAAAATATGCTTCAAACTAAGCCTTTTCACAATTGCCTCGTTCTTACACCATTTACGCGAGGCGATTCTTGAGGAAACCCTGGAAGGCAACGCGACGACAATTACGGGTACACGAGGCAACTGTAGCGATGGGCGACTGCACTGGTTGCCTGGAAAAAACAAACACTTGGTGTCTTCCTGGGAACGCTGCCTGACCCATCTTGGCGACGCAATAATTAGGAATGTCAGAAGGCTGACATACATTATTGCGAAATAGAACAACGATTGGAAAATAGTTATATTATTTACATTGCACGGTAATCAAGAAACCTCTTTTTACTTACGATCTCCCACAGGGCTGAAAAAGAAGCTCATTCTAAAGCACAGATGACATTTACAGAAATAGCGGAACAGTTCCAATCCGATGAAATGAAGAATAGTGGACTGTCGTTTAATCCAAACGACTTCAAAGCAAAGCGGGAGGTAGGTAACGTTGATTAGAACTTGGAGACCTGCCCGATAACTTACATTTAAAACCCGCTAGAGGGACAAGAAAATGTATCACTCTGGGGATATTCCATGAATTTGTAGTTCAAAACGATTAACACCACCTAAATATTTTTGTTACAGATAAATATAAGCAGCGAAGTCAAAAATATTTTAAGTTTACCAAGTGAGCAGAGAAGTCCGGAACAACTACTGACCGTAAGTTGAATCAACAAGAGAGTTTAAAGCGGGGGATTCGTCACCTGCGCATGCGTCAGATGGCCTTAGCGTGTCATTGTTTACAAACAAGCGTCTGCCCACGAGCCTTTGCGTTTTTAGTGTGTGTTGTTATCGTCGCTTGTACAGGGGACGATCCTCCCTCTTTAAAATGTATATTTGGACCTGGTGATATGAGTCTGAACACTGTTCAATAAAACCAGCTTTTAAAGGGCAGTGGTCGTCGCGCTGAGTGTGTTTCAATTCCATGCAAACAAACAAACAAATAATTTATGATTTATCCTAATATTAAATATTGTTTATGTTCGTTTTATAAAAAATGAAAAACACCCCACGCTAGTGTGGGATAGTTATTGTCCAATAAATCCCTAGTTGTTCGTTGCAAGTACATCGTTATTTTACTTTATGGTGAAATCAATTGCCATAGAGTATCAAACACTCTTAGAAAATACGTATTTTTTGTGTCTTAATATTTTCTTTTTTGATGATGCATACTGTTAAAACATTGGGGCATGATTTTCGTAGTAATGTTTTACTGGACCGTCTGTTATCATCGAAACTTATGGCTGCCTCTCACGTATAAAACATATCTAGTTTAACCATGTATGTGACGTAATGTTTACGTTGACAGGCTCTCTATGGTCTGCAGACGATGAAGTCATTTGCCGAATATCCTCTCCATATGCAAGAAAAGTTAACCAGAGTCGCATGGTTTGAAAAGTAAGTAAAGGATCGGAGTAATTCGGGGTTACCGGGTTACCCAGTGAGAGAATGGAAGTAAATATATTCCATGGTGAATGCAAGGAAACACTAGGTGTTACTACTATTTATAGTATTGTGCTATAAATAGACCACTTTCCCGAAAGATGCCGCGTTTCGTATACAACACCCATGATGCCTGGCTGTGCTTGTGGATGTATCAATCGAACGCACGCTGACAAAATAAGATCCCCTCTTACCAAATACCAACAGACTAGCATGTTTGCATTACCGCCATAAAAAATACCACGTTTCTGGCCAGTATCGCGTTAACGTGTACATTCGGGTCTGTATTCAATCCGTAACATATTTATATTCAGGTTCGGAGAGACTCAGAGATACATTATACAGAAAACTAACATTACAGTAACTATTCATTTTGCTATTTTTCAGTATACCCCCGCGAAAAGTAATTATCCGACAAGGTCATTATGCAGAAGCTTTTTATTTCATCATATCAGGAAGTGGTAAGTATGACGTCATTTTCATTAATTATATCTTAAAATTATTATTAATAAAAGGCGGTAGTCGTCGTCCAGCGCAATGTATTTCACATAGGTTAAACACATCGCATGGGCCTATATCGAATACCGCGCGTCCCGACGACCGCCTAATAACCTAGGGGCTTAAAGAGCGATCAAAACACTTTTTTTCAATATTTTCGCAGAGAGAGTCCTTAATGTCAATTTCAACGGACAAAAATAGAGAGAGAGAGACAGACAGACACAGAGAGAGAAAGCGAGAGAGAGATTTTTTGACAAACCACCACTAGTTTCTCGGAAGGGCTAACGACTTGTGGAGATTTGAAAGATTTTTATTTGAAACATAGAACAATTGACTCATTCATTTGAAATGGCTAAAATTGTTTTCATATTCATATTCACTACTTTTACGAAAATGTCTGTTATTTGGGCATACTAAATATTTGAATGCCTCTTCACATCGCAACTATGATATACTCATGTCATGTTCGTTCTGTGTTTAATAAACGTACTGCCAAATGCTTGTTGTGTTTCGGCTGATGGATAGATATACATGTAGTATGTCTATGCGGGCGAGCACTTAACAATTTTGTTTTTAATCGTTCATCGCTAAGTATTTCTGTCTTTAACTTCGTTTGACCTAAATTGTAGAAGGTGTTCGATACGAGTGCAAATTGAATATTAAGCATATATTTTAAGGTGGAGTGCGTGTCCTCTTTGTAAAGATAGGAATGCAGGAATGTGTGAGTTAAAGCGGTATCGCGACCCACTGACTCGACTTTTACCTATTTGAATCCCCTACGGTATCATAGATTCGATTCAGTGCACAATTGCGAACAAAAGAAAAGCACACTGCCCTTGGGGTTTTTGCCCGAACACATTGTTGCGATATTGTACATAAAGCAACAAAATAAACGTGTCCCATGATAAATCATCAAACATACGCTCTTTTGATGCTGGTTACGCTAATATTGGTGTAATTCTTGGCAGGCCCTTGGCGCCAGTGGCGGCGGCCGCGGTGTTTCAATTGCCTCAGGCTTTAATTCGAGTGTAGAGGAAATCAGAGATTGTATTCCATGTATATGAATATTTTTATTTCCAAATTCATAAATATAAATTATAAAAAGAATGGGTCACGTGGTACTTCGCACTGTAATTTACATTTTGTATAACTATATTTCGCCTACAGCCGTTGTGACGATTATGGAGACCAATCCGGTTACCGGAGAGGCGAAATTGCGAACGGCGACAGTGCTACGAAAGGGCAGCAGCTTTGGCGAGTTAGCATTGCTGCACCACAGCGTTCGCACGGCGACAGTGTCAAGCCAGGGACACGTGCAGTTACTCGCCATCGGCAGGGAAGACTTTTTTGATATATTCATGAGAGGTCAAAGGCCAGGTGAAGAACCAGAACACATAACATTCCTAAGGTGAGCCTGAGAGGTTTCTATGACAACCCAGTATACCGCTAACACAAGTTGGTGTCACTGGGGAATTAGGCAAATACTATGGGTTATTGCGTCAGTAAGGTGTGGCAAGGTCATTGAATAACCGTTGTAACCGTTGAGCCTGGGTAAACCGGTTTCTGGGATACGCATCAGTAGACGAAATTCTGACTGCTACAACACCACTCTTAATCTGACCAATGCATTTCGGACAAATCTGCTTGTAACAACTTACAAAATGTCCCTTCAACCATGAAAATTCATAAGGTCTATGCTAACACCGAGGAGCCAATGAGGGAGAACGTAATTTGACAACGAGGCCTGACAACCTATTCGTCTTCTAAAAATAGCTAGCCTCGTTCATAGTGAGCTTTATTGTCGCGCTATGATCTTGTAGCGTCCATGTAATACCGACTAACTTATTGGTACACACCCAAATAATTCCTGATCGATTTTTCCTTGCAGACAAGTAGAATGCCTTAAAGATTTTCCGTTTGAGAAGCTAATGGAACATCCCGAACGATGTTTATTTCATTTTTACAAGTGAGTATTCGAGGTTTAGATTTTCTCTACAATCATATGTCCTTTTTTGTGCATACCCGGGCACATTTAGTAATTAGTCTAAACGGTTACATTATTATTGTTTTATTAAATCTGCGAAATCGTTTGTAACAACATTATATGCAACGTACTGTATTATTGTCTTATATTTAAAGCGGAAGGGTCGTCACCTGCGCACGCGCGGGAATTGAGTTCCAAGCGACGAAAACAACACACTCTAAAAACGCAAAGGCTCATGGGTGGAAGCTTGTTTGTAAACAATGACAATGCCATGTGACGCATGCGCAGGTGACGATTCCCCCGCTTTAATCGTCGTCAGTTTTCAACCATTTTTTTTTTATCTTTCAGACGCGGGCAGATTATAGTAAAAGATAGTAATTCTTCGGAATGGCTATATGTAGTGAAATCGGTAAGCGACCTATAGCATGCAAATAACTTGGGCGCGAACTGATGTATGTCAGAACTTTCTTGTTCTGTTAGAAGCGGGTTGTTGTCATGACAACACACTTTTTCATTTTGGTTTTAATGAACAAAATAGCTGTGCAATACGTGTATTATAGTTATAGTCCAGAAACTAGCCATGTGACAATTATTTGTGACCCTAATTCACAAATCTGGTACTTTTTGCCACGATGATTATGCACTTGTTACAAATTTGGTTCAATATTTTTAATAAACAGGGAACATGTCAAGTTTTAAAGCAACTGAAAGCTGTGAAACCCGGTGAATATCACGCACATAGGGGTGTTAAACTTCCGCGGATTGACGACTCTGGTGGTAAGAAACACGACACGTTATTTTTGCTTGTAGATAGTAATATGAACAACGTTTTTGATAACAGTTAAATATTCAATTTAACTTGACCTGGATGGCATTTCAGGCTAAAACTGAATCTGTGTTGTTCTCTTATAGGTGGCGTCAGCAGAGCAAGACACAGCGAGAGACAGCGAGCTCTGTCTATGTCGCCAAGAAACCAAAAAGACAGTATGCTGTCTGAATTAGAAGAGGTAAGAATATGTGTTGTCATGGTTGCAATACTTGTCCGTCGCTTGTGAAACCCACGCGATTTTTTTCCTGAAATATTTGCCACCATACAGTCGTGCCACGCGTGCCAGAATTTCGTGTAAAAAGCGTTTTACATGCGTTGTATAGGTTGCATGGGACCCATATGTGATAGCGCTTTAAACTTTCGTTCAATAATGATTTCATGTATATTTCATTGTTATGTGCAATTGTCTGATTTTTTACAGGCCAGAGACGAGCTACGACCACTACCTAATCTATTCTTGACACGAACTCGAACTGCCGACAGCATCCAGGAAGTAAATAGACTAACGTCGCCTTCATCTTCATCATCTAGCTCGTCGACGCCATCACCGACGTCTCCCGTGTCAGAATTCGATATCCGTAAAGGCGCAGTGCTGATTAAGAAGTCAGTTTCCAAAAGCAAATATCGTAATTTCACATCAGCGAAAAAAAGTCGTGTTAAAATAGATGTAAGTTCTAAAATGTACACATCAAGCTTTGATATGCGCCCGCCCTCTGTCGAGTTCAAGCCTAAATGTCATGTTAGTCTCCCATTTCTCATTTCAACCGTGATACTAATTTGATTGTTTCAGGAGGCGAATAATCCATCCCCTTACAGCAGAAACAAAGAAAACTATCTCACTCCTCGGCCCAAGGACAAAAAGGATAAATCTGTATTTGTGCAACTGGAGTTACTATATCCAAAACACGTGTTCGTAAGTATAGATTACTTCCGTTTCACCACTCCGGTGTTTGCCTCAAATGTGGCTCTGGAACTGCCTCCAACCCTAGTATAAGCATAGTGAAATTACAGTTGTGACAGTTTCAATTATATTATGACTAATATTTTGATTTGTTTCACAGGGTTTAAATACATTGATTTTTGACGAGGACCTTATAGCCGTTCAGCAAACCAGTGTCCACTTAGTAAGTATCTTTCGTTAAAGGGCGGTGGTCGCGCGCATGTTCGACATAAACATTGGCTTTTCCACAATCCAATGCGCAAAAATTTTGATCCGGGCCTGACGTGCACTAATTGCCGTTATTAACTATTTCGACACTTTCCAATTTGTACTCTTATTGGTCTGCGCAACAGTCAAAATCGCCATATCTGTTCTTATGTGGCCCAAATCTCGCGCATGCGTGGCGAGACGATCACCGCCCTTTAATATAAAATTAAAAATTGAGGGCGGCGTTCTACAATTTATTGTTATGGTATATATTTAATCTGTAAATACGAATTGACTAATTCACATACTACTAACTATTTTCAGCATGTTTTGTTTGTATTCCAACTAAATTGTGTGTTCAAAGGCACTTTATATGCGCCTACTACCCGACATTTAACTCAAAAGCCTGCATAATAAGTTTGAAATAATTGCATATTCATTAGATAATTTGCATATTTAGCTAAATCATTCAATATATTGTTCAATTGTGATTAACATTATTCATATCTAGCACCCAGGTGACGAGAAATGGCTTTCTTGTTACTGTAAATGTAAACTTTTTTTTCATCAGATAAGCCGGGGAGCAGAATGTATAATGCTTCACAAATCGTTCTTCACGAAACACGCAGACGACAAAGTGAGGCGCGCGGTACGTCAATCTCACCGCCCTTACCCGACCACGGAGACGCTACAAGACCATCTACAGGACTTCACTAACTGGAATCATTTCAAGAAAGAAGCAGTACATACAATAGTTTGGGGAAAATCGTGACAGGCGTGATATAGGTGGACAAGGATAGATGCTGTCGATTTGGAACAATACGATAGTGTTTACGGATTATGAAATTGGACGATAAATTGTATCGGGTGACGATTGAGATTTTATGTTTGTTTTTGCTGGAAAGTGACATGCGTGGACATAGTGTGTGCATTATTCAAATGATGCACCGTGACGTCAGTTAACTTTAATAATTACAGACGCTGTGTTAAATATATACGAGTATTCATCTTATAAGTATGCGCTCATGAACGCATGAGGGCGCAAACTTGTTATGGGACTTTCATTTTTTCTGATATGTTTCTACGTATGTGATAATCACATACTGAACAAAATGAATTTAATTTGTGAAAAAATATTAAATTTATAATATTGACAAATTACCAGTACTACATGGAGGTCAATTTTAAGTACGCTATTTGACAACAACGAGTTTATCATTATTTTAATGACGTTCAAGATTATTGATTAATTAATTGTTTGGTTGAGTATGCATGTGTAATATGATATTGAAAAATAAAAAAAAAATATGTTTATTATGTTTTCAAATCACTTGTGTAGTGCTTTGTTTTTTCCCAAAGGATGTGTAATTTTGTCGGGGTAACAGATTGCTCCGAAAATGTACACATAAATTTGTGTTTTTACTGGCACCTCAACCTTGAAGTTTCAATGTGAATGTTCCGGCAAGGGAGGAAGGAGTGTCCCAACTAAACAACACCGTGCAGCAGGACGATGAGCACCTTTCTCTCGTATGTTTCAACAAACAATGATGACGCCGTTGAGAGCAACTTGCGCTTCTGGGGTCACCGTGATAACACATGTAGTTAGGCGCCAGTTGCGATTATTGGTTGCATGGCTGATGAATTCATCACACACACAACTCATTCTCATATCCTGGAAAATAATATATGTGGTTATGCAAAAGGTTTGGGTGGAATGAAAACGGTGTTAAAGCGGGAGAGTCGTAACCTGCGCATGTGTCAGATGGCCATAGCTGTGTCATTGTTCACAAACAAGCGTCTACCCATGAGCCTTTGCGCGTGCGCAGGTGACGACCCTCCCGCTTTAAATGAGTATGAGGGAGAGTGTGATCGCACTGCTCATAGTTCTTAGAGTAAATTATTTGTAATATTAGTTAAGTACGGATTGCCTCTATTTTGAATTGTTTGTATTCCGGGAAGTAATTTCATTGAGACTCGTCATTGGTAGGCTTGACCTATCACCGACGATTCACACATGTAAATAATTTAGTCTACAACATTTCAAGAATCATTATTTTAAAAACTTGTCTCGTAAAAATCGTCTGGGTGAGCTAACTTGAAATATAAAAAAACGTTTGTAGCAAACACAATCTTTCTTATGGCAATTTATCACATGCAGCCTGTTGTTTAGAAAGCGATATTGAATCATACTGTATTCTATACAATACATTCTATTTCTATATTCTTACATCGTTCATATGGATGGGGGAGGGATCAAGTAAAATTAGTAGTGTTCCGTAAAACATTGATAACAAATCGAGAATGATATGTTATTTGTTGAAGAAATGTAAAATTGTATTAGGGATTGGTCAGTTACTTCGGCCTAGGGGGGGGGGGGGTCGGTGGATCAGTAGGGGGGGTCACCCTGTTTTTGATATCATGTTTTCCAGAATTCACACACGCGCTCATGCATATATTTTTTAAAAATTTATTTCAGAACAAACGATAAAGAAGTTAATCGTACAAATGTGTTCTTAATAATAACTATTACCTATATTGCCTATAAATTTGTTGATGCAAAAAATGTTATAGGCTAAATATTTTGAGGTTAAAGTTG